ATATTTGTCTAAAAATAGGTTCAATATATTGTTCATGAATCAATAGATATACTATTTACAAAAATTGATCAAAAATGTGAATGATACTCTATCATCTCAAAAAGTTCATATTCTTTCTATCAAACAGTTGTAGTTAACTTGATGATAGTCAGTTTAGTGAACGCATGCCCCTCCACTCCTCTCCTCACCACAACAATAGGCAATATTCAAGGGTAGCATTACAACATTTGAGTAGAAAGACTATTTGTCGACACAGAGGGTATACCAAGAAGGAGATAATTTTACTTGGTATCGGCTAGCACTGGAATACAGGATATATGACTCACTAGCCAGATGTTGCTGCAACCTAATGAATTCAACGGCTAGAAATTAATTTATAGATAAGAAGTCGAAATATTGAACCAAGTCCTTTGTATTCATAATTCAAATGACCTTAAACATCACCCCAGCAACTCAGAAGATAATCAATCAGAATGACTTTAAGGGCCATCTTAGTGACTGCCAAATTAGTCAATCAAACTTCAGAATTTCGACTGGGAAGGCAGTTTTTCATGGAATAGAGGAACATAATTGGTTATCTTGGCAGTTTCTAGGGCGGCCTTAAAAGACATTCAACCAATCATGTTTCTCCATTTTAAAAATAACTACCCTCCCCGCCGGAATACCGAAAGTTGATTGGCTATTTCGGAAGTTGCTAGTGTAGCTTTTAAAGTCCCTCCTTTCAGTCATTCCATAATTAAGCGGGAAGCGCTTGATAGCAAAGTCAGTTCACTTTCAAAGCTACCCCAACAACTACTGAAGTAAGCAACTGGAGTCCTGTAATTTATGAAAAAATTACCTTACCAGTCAAAACAGAGACTGGATTACTTACTTCGGTTGTCGCTGGGGTCACTAGTAAAGTGAAGGAGATACAGTGTTCTTGGCTCATATGACGTCCCACTTTTCATCTACACTACACATTAGTATTGCCTACAGTTCTAGAGCCACTAAGGCTATCTCAGCAACTGATGGATTAACCAGGAATCATTTTAAATCCCACGCTAGGAACTGCTGAAATAATCAATTAGCTCTAGCTATTTTGACTGGGAAGATGAGTGATTTTAAAGACCACCCTAGCAGCTCCTGATGTAGATAAAAACTTTTCTATATTTTATGAAAATCTGCCTTCCCAGTCTAAATATAGAAACCTAATCGGTCATCTCGATCGTTGGCAGGGTGGCCTTTAAAGTTGACCGGGAAGATAGTTATTTTCAAAGTAAGGAAACACGATTGGTTATTGAAGCATTTACTAAGAGGCCCTTTAAAATTACTCACTAACCGGTTGGTCTTTTGGTTCTATTTGTACAGGAAGTAAAAGTGTTATTGGGGTTTTGATATCATTAAAGCTTGTGAGTCTCCACCACTGATTGCACCGAATTCACTAGCCACTACTGTCATATAGGATCCTTTGAGGGAACCTCAATATTGCCGGTATTTTGTGTTGCACAAGGTGTGGCCATTATAACTCAGTGGCCCAGTGGGTATTGGGTGCGAGTCTCAGTGGGAGTAAAATCATTCACTAGGAGGCAGGTCCTTGCAGCTGAAGAGTCCCTGCTAGCCTCAACCCATCGCCATTCGGATTATTGTTAGAGTGGCTTATGTTCATTGAATACGTGTAAAAGGAAACACCTTCCTCATACAGATCTATCAAACACGTCTAACCACACTAAACCATCATTCACTTCACGTAGACATTAACCTTTTCCCCTTAATACTATTGTATATCATTGTATATTGCTTCCCGTCTAGAGAATATCGACTGACAGCAATGATCAGTACATAGACAAATATTTTCATCTACCAACCAACTAATAAATCAATACATTCTGACTAACTTCAATGCTATAATTAGAAGGTAAGTTTAGAAATTAGCCTGAATCACTTAACTTGATGAGTCAATATGAATAATTGCTTTTATTGTCTAACTTTATTATTATTATCATTATTGTTACCATCATCATCATCATTGTTCTAGAAATTATTAATCATTGATACCAGCTCACAGTTTTTTCTGCGGATATACATGCAGCAAATAAAACTATTGGTAAGGCATGCACCTTTTACAGTTTGGGTAGTATATCATTCTAACTGTTTCACTTGTCTTCTGGGCTTGACTACCTGTAGAAATAAATAGTATTGCAGAAACGTGAACAGTTTCATCTTCCAGTTCTATTGATAAACAGCACAGCATGTTCAGGTCAAGCATTTGCTTTCATGTCCATAATCTTACTTCTGATAGGGAGCTATCGTGAGATTTCTCACCGAAGACTTTGTGTTTTTTGTAAAAACCCTATGACTGTACACTCAAGTAGCTTAACAGGACTTGGGTGGTTTTAAGAACTCTGCTGTCTGAATTAAATCAATCCGGGTACTGTGGTGACGAACTCAACCTCAGACAAGTGGAATGGCATCCGATTATCTTAGCCTGTCTCGTGAGTACTTCTGACTAGTATATGTTAGTTGGTTGGAGGCAATCGGCAGGAAGCCCCGCACGTAAGTTTCGTGCTTTTCCGGCACCCGTCAGTAAGGTGTGTGTGTCTGCAACCTCGACGGAACTGATGTCCTGCCTGAGATTGAAACCCGCGCCACCCAGTGTTGCAATCAGCGACTTTACCACTGAGCTATTCGGGACACGGTTGACCTCCTGTAGGACTGGGTTATATGTATTGATTGGTCACCGGAGTGCAACCAATTTCGTGTTCCCTAGTCCTGAGTTGGTTGTACTCCGGTGACCAATCAATACATATAACCCAGTCCTACAGGAGGTCAACCGTGTCCCGAATAGCTCAGTGGTAAAGTCGCTGATTGCAACACTGGGTGGCGCGGGTTTCAATCTCAGGCAGGACATCAGTTCCGTCGAGGTTGCAGACACACACACCTTACTGACGGGTGCCGGAAAAGCACGAAACTTACGTGCGGGGCTTCCTGCCGATTGCCTCCAACCAACTAACATCTACTAATGTACACCGCGATGCTGAGCTTCCTAGCTTGATTGCCACATTGCAAATATGATTGCTAGAATTCGATCTGCACTCAGGACTAGACAACATGAAATTGGTTGCTCTCCTGTGACCAATCAATGCACTTCTGATTATTGTTCTTGCTCTCAAACTGATTTTAGTCAGTAGTGTCTTTCGAACAGCAATATACATCCTCCTTTAGATTTCAGAAGTCAGAAAATAAGGATTAATTCTCAGAAGAGACAGAAATGATGGTTACTCAGTCACAAATCATAGACAGGTGGAAATATGCAACAAAATATTCGGGAAGAAAAAAGCTCAAAAACAACTCAGTCGACTCGAAAATTGAACATTCTAGTAAATGTCACTTGTTTACGCAACCCTTCACCCTTGGATAGGTTAACAAATTAGGATAATTTAGGTGTTGAAATCGATGCATTTTTCATTGTTTCTTCAGCTAATATGATCCAATCATGAAAAGAATGCTTCGATAGGTCGGTTCTTCGTGATAAAACTGCCAAATGTTCTAAGCCTAATTTTTCTATCTCACTCCTTTCTAATGAAATCGTAAACAAAAACCCAATTGTATAAAGGGAAAGTTTTTCTTCAAAAATATTATTTTATGTTAAAAATGTTGCGTCACATGTATGTCATGGGGGAGATAAACTATTGATATGAGAACTTGGAGTATAATATATTGGAGAATTCGACTTCACGGTCCTCAAGTGTTCACAAATAGACCGTCCCAATAAAGAGGAACTCTAAAGGCCATATTACCAACGACTGTTAGAAGAGCAGATTTTCATTCAATGGTCATTTCAGTTTCTGTTATAATATAAGTTAGAAACAACCGCCTTTAGTCAACTAATCATCGGCCAGTTATACTCTCATGTGTTGAGCTGTGGTTTATTGTTGTGCACAGGTGAATGCCAACCAGCAGTTTACAGTTTTGATCGCCAATCCACTTACTGAGGTTCAGGGAACCAGTTAGCATTACTCATTTTCTTTACAATGTCCCCAATTAATAGTGCACATTTTATCCCTTCGGAAATTCTACTACAGTAAACAATCTAGTGAGGAAGGAAATTACAATTTTATAACTACAAATTTAGTATAGTAAAGTGTATTCATATGACAATGTTTCTAGCCACGAAGAAATCTTGCATCATAGTAGAACTTGAAGTAGAAATCTACGAAGTAGACGGCTAAAAATTTATCAGCCGATTGCAACAGGGATATTCCAGAGGGTATGCATTCGAATCCTCTTTTGATGCATGTGGGATTTCACGTTGTCAAATGTTTCTATTACAGACTGACTAACTAGCTAAAATATTATCTGAATTTACTGAATACACTTCAAGATCACACACATATAGTCAGAGGTACATTAATTACAAGTCGGTATTCATCACTGACTTACATCTGTTGGAGAACCATTGAAAATCTGAGAGCATCGGATAGTTGTTTCGAGATGAGAATCTCGAAGATCTAATGAGATGTCGTGACCGGTTGGGTAAACCGAGGACAACATAAGTACAGGCATTCAATGACAGCTCAATGGTCACATGCTGTGCGTGGAATCTAAATGTCTTAAGTTCGATCCTTGACGAGGTCATGTATGTGCGCTGTTGAAGAGTCCCATGCCGTCCAGTTTTCCCATATTTCCAATGGTTCTACAACTGATGTCAGTCTGTGCGTCATGAATACCAATGAATCCGTAAATACCTTTAAATTGAACAAGTACATTAATTTGAGCACCGGAGAAGCTTTGGTATAACACACTATTCCAAAGAAGATATGCACCCAGAATTATATACAAAGTCAAATATACTAATTATTTCATTGGAGAATAGCTCAAACTCGCCTAATGAACGTTGGATGGCTTAACTATTTTTGCAGGAATCAGTAAACATAAAATTGAATAATGTTCAACTGAAATGGTAATGTTCATTAGGAACAAAGTGCGTTCAATAAAACACTGCGGTATAGAAAGAATAGTACCTAAGTGGCATTGGCAGCTGTAGTGCCAGTAGCAGTAGATTGAGAAGAAGTAAAAGTAGCAGTAGTAGTAGTAGTAGTGTGAGTAGTAGTAGTAGTAGTAGTGTGAGTAGTAGTAGTAGTAGTAGTAGTGTGAGTAGTAGTAGTAGTGTGAGTAGTAGTAGTAGTGTGAGTAGTAGTAGTAGTGTGAGTAGTAGTAGTAGTAGTAGTGTGAGTAGTAGTAGTAGTAGTGTGAGTAGTAGTAGTAGTAGTAGTGTGAGTAGTAGTAGTAGTAGTAGTGTGAGTAGTAGTAGTAGTAGTAGTGTGAGTAGTAGTAGTAGTAGTAGTAGTGTGAGTAGTAGTAGTGTGAGTAGTAGTAGTAGTAGTGTGAGTAGTAGTAGTAGTAGTAGTAGTGTGAGTAGTAGTAGTGTGAGTAGTAGTAGTAGTAGTGTGAGTAGTAGTAGTAGTAGTGTGAGTAGTAGTAGTAGTAGTAGTAGTGTGAGTAGTAGTAGTGTGAGTAGTAGTAGTAGTAGTGTGAGTAGTAGTAGTAGTAGTGTGAGTAGTAGTAGTGTGAGTAGTAGTAGTGTGAGTAGTAGTAGTAGTAGTGTGAGTAGTAGTAGTAGTAGTGTGAGTAGTAGTAGTAGTGTGAGTAGTAGTAGTAGTGTGAGTAGTAGTAGTAGTGTGAGTAGTAGTAGTAGTGTGAGTAGTAGTAGTAGTGTGAGTAGTAGTAGTAGTAGTGTGAGTAGTAGTAGTGTGAGTAGTAGTAGTGTGAGTAGTAGTAGTAGTAGTGTGAGTAGTAGTAGTGTGAGTAGTAGTAGTGTGAGTAGTAGTAGTAGTAGTGTGAGTAGTAGTAGTAGTGTGAGTAGTAGTAGTAGTGTGAGTAGTAGTAGTAGTAGTGTGAGTAGTAGTAGTGTGAGTAGTAGTAGTGTGAGTAGTAGTAGTAGTAGTAGTAGTAGTAGTAGTAGTAGTAGTAGTAGTAGTAGTAGTAGTAGTAGTAGTAGTAGTAGTAGTAGTAGTAGTAGTAGTAGTAGTAGTAGTAGTAGTAGTAGTAGTAGTAGTAGTAGTAGTAGTAGTAGTAGTAGTAGTAGTAGTAGTAGTAGTAGTAGTAGTAGTAGTAGTAGTAGTAGTAGTAGTAGTAGTAGTAGTAGTAGTAGTAGTAGTAGTAGTAGTAGTAGTAGTAGTAGTAGTAGTAGTAGTAGTAGTAGTAGTAGTAGTAGTAGTAGTAGTAGTAGTAGTAGTAGTAGTAGTAGTAGTAGTAGTAGTAGTAGTAGTAGTAGTAGTAGTAGTAGTAGTAGTAGTAGTAGTAGTAGTAGTAGTAGTAGTAGTAGTAGTAGTAGTAGTAGTAGTAGTAGTAGTAGTAGTAGTAGTAGTAGTAGTAGTAGTAGTAGTAGTAGTAGTAGTAGTAGTAGTAGTAGTAGTAGTAGTAGTAGTAGTAGTAGTAGTAGTAGTAGTAGTAGTAGTAGTAGTAGTAGTAGTAGTAGTAGTAGTAGTAGTAGTAGTAGTAGTAGTAGTAGTAGTAGTAGTAGTAGTAGTAGTAGTAGTAGTAGTAGTAGTAGTAGTAGTAGTAGTAGTAGTAGTAGTAGTAGTAGTAGTAGTAGTAGTAGTAGTAGTAGTAGTAGTAGTAGTAGTAGTAGTAGTAGTAGTAGTAGTAGTAGTAGTAGTAGTAGTAGTAGTAGTAGTAGTAGTAGTAGTAGTAGTAGTAGTAGTAGTAGTAGTAGTAGTAGTAGTAGTAGTAGTAGTAGTAGTAGTAGTAGTAGTAGTAGTAGTAGTAGTAGTAGTAGTAGTAGTAGTAGTAGTAGTAGTAGTAGTAGTAGTAGTAGTAGTAGTAGTAGTAGTAGTAGTAGTAGTAGTAGTAGTAGTAGTAGTAGTAGTAGTAGTAGTAGTAGTAGTAGTAGTAGTAGTAGTAGTAGTAGTAGTAGTAGTAGTAGTAGTAGTAGTAGTAGTAGTAGTAGTAGTAGTAGTAGTAGTAGTAGTAGTAGTAGTAGTAGTAGTAGTAGTAGTAGTAGTAGTAGTAGTAGTAGTAGTAGTAGTAGTAGTAGTAGTAGTAGTAGCGTAAGCTTTTTCAGTAATCATTTTTGGACTGTGTTTGCTAACATCTTATAATGTATATATTGGGTTGTTTCAGCCACAAGCTGTTTATCCCACTTACCTCACCCAATCACATATTGTCTAACACACTACATTTCAATTTTTGGAGTATGAATTATAATCTGGTGAAAGATAAAATCAATAAAATCTTGCATCTTCTACAAGTATGATGAAGTGTCTGTGCCAATCCTTGAATTTTAACTTTTTATCCATCAATGAATCGCATGAGAATGAAAAGTATTCAAAAGTCATTCTTTGTTACTATCATCTTTTTTATTTTCTCAACTTTCTAACTTACACGTGATTCCTACCTAGTAGGATCATGCCTATCATTAGTTCTTGTTGAAAGAAGCTACAGCCTTGAATTGTATTATTCATTTCTTCTATTGTCATTTTTTATTTGTATACTAAAAAAAGTTAATGACCTTTATCAAACGTATTACAAAACATTGTCTGTAAATTTTAAAGACAACAGTGTTGTTTATGATGAGACACCATGGTTGTTTATTCTCAAGGTTACATGATTTATGTAGGGGGAAGAAGTGAGTCCTCGCATCTCTAAATGCAGAAGTGATTAGTTTATAGCAGTAATAACAAAAGTGATAAACTACTGAATCCATCTTTCAAGTAATTGAATATGCCAGCATACTGTTTGAAGATGGTACAGGTATCCCAAAGTTAGTTGTGAAATAATCACTTACCACTACTAATGCTCATTTGAAGACAGTACCAATCATCCCGTTGTGTGAAGGCTAATCCTTAAGTTGACGTCAGGCACCATCAGATGATAAATTTAATTACAGATGATTTAAGTCAATCGATACTCGATTGAGTTTATCAATTGGTATCGATGACCCTGTACATGGCAACCATGAAGACAGTCTAGCAAATAAGATTACCTTTGATAACTGTCAGGAAGTAAAGAGGCCTGAGTCCGAAGTTGTTTACTCCATATCTTCTTTCAACAGAAATCAAGCACCTGTTTTATGCCAGACCTATTCGGCCTAATCAATGACGGTATAATACAAGCAATAATGCTAAAACGATAGCTGTCACGCAATAGTTGGCTATCATGGCTCAGTGGTGTAGAGGATAACACTGGCGTTTGGAGCGGTCGGCCCCGGGTTCGAATCCCCGCAGGAACCAAACGACTCACTGTGAAGCAGATACATCTAACTGACAAGTCCCAAATAGGATGAAAAGCGCATGTTGGATTCCACTGCTAGCCACTAGCCATCAATAATACGTCAGATTCAGACTCCTCGTATTCACCAAACAGTAATGAATGCAGATTTGGTGTATTGTTTTTTGGAAGGTAAGAAAACTTGCTGGACCAGATTAAATGATATGTGATGAGCTTGAAAAGCAAAATAAATCTGAAAGAGAGATACACTCCATGGGAATCTATGGAATAACAGAACCGTTTGCCTTTTCATTTTTGGTAGACGCTCATTATCTTTCACAGATATAATCAAAATATTGATATAAGGATATCATGTAGACGTTGAGAAAGCAAGTTTACTTTGTTACATTACTGGCTGACCTCTGAAAGACATCTTGATTCGAATATTTCAATCTAGTTTTAGAGTACTATTGAAGTGAATGACCCTCAGTGCACATGAGTTCTCATCAGGTTGTAGATACACCCAGCTGACAAGTGTTAACAACCGTGAAACTTCAGTCAAAAAGGGCTTCTTGTCAGTAGTCTCAAGCCAACTAACATCTAACAAAGCATACTTCAGTGAGCAACCTCCTAGCTTAATGGTGACATTATGAAGTAAAGATCTTTAGAATAAGGTAAACGCACAGGACTAGACAACACGCATAACTGTACACTTCTCATAAACCTCATATTCTATGTTCATGTCAACAATGTATACTGTTGACTAACATCAGTTGTTAGGTATCCTCTTGTCTAAACAGTATTATCCACCGACTACCTCCAGATACCCAGCATAGTTTAATAACGACTTAATACAGAAACTTACATTCCCTTTTAAGAGCGTCAGTGACAAGTCTACATGACATGTGGTTGAAAATATCAATTTGTTGTCTCCTTTATATTCCTTATTTAAGTGATAATTATGAAAAAGGATAATGAATAGAAAGTGATCCAAATAAACGAGAAAAGTTTTTCAGTAGTACGTCATCTTAGACGTTCGACTGAACTTAACTAATTAAAAAAAGTGACAATTTTATGAGTAATAGCAACTGACAGAGTTCATGGTTTCAATGTTTTATTTTCTAAACGAATTCATGATGGAATCGTGCAGCTACATTTCGACTATTTGGAGGTTAACGGAGATTAATTGGCTTCAGGTTCGTATTCATCATCGACTGACATCAGTTGGAGGAACATTGGGAACCTGGGAGCACTGAACACTTCTCTCGTCCTGATGTGTATGTGCTAAGGAGTCCCATATTGTGACGAAACAGCTGTAAAGTGTTCACAGGTTTTCAATGTTTCTCAAAGTGATCTCACTTGATGATGGATTTCAGTTATTTTTCTTCTTATCATTGACTGAGAATTTCGTACAGTGTTCGCTTTCATCATGGATGTCAATAAGCCATCTAAGTGACTATAAAGTTTTGAGCTGTTTCGGATGGTTCTACTGTCTAATTTGAGTTGACTGGAGTGCACGGTTGAAAAACTTGCCCTTGAAGTAGGGACTGCCACAACCTAACCAGGAAGCACTACCGATTAAGTAAATGGATTCGAAGTATTCATAGTAGTCAACAATGTGTGTATTACTAATAAGGGTATAGTAATCGGTATATGATGCAGCAAACAGTGGGGAGCGAGAAGAGGGGGATACGCTGGACTGCGGAAAACAACCTAGAAGATCTGGATTTCGCCGATCACCTGTGCCTGATGTCACACAAACTTGAAGATCTACAGGCGAAAACTAACAAGTTGATAGAAGAGGCGAGGCAGGGCAGCGAAGACGGGACTTCAAGTGAATATAGAGAAGACAGAGACAGGTGATGAAGATACCGCACCACCATCATCAACAACAACAACAAACTCCAGTCACCATCAACGGGAGAAACTTAAAGGAAGTAACCTCCTTCACCTATCTAGGAAGCACTGTTTCAACTACAGTCGGCACAGACGAGGATGTCAAAGTCAGAATCGGAAAAGCAAGACAGGCGTTCATTAACCTGAAACCAGTGTGGAGATCTTCTGCAATCAGCATGTGGAACAAGACCTGGGTTTTCAACACCAACGTCAAGTCAGTGCTTCTGTATGGTTCAGAGACTTGGCGCGTTACGAACGGGATTTCCAATAAACTACAGACATTCATCAACAACTGCCTACGCTGGCTCGTTACTGAAGATCAGATGGCCAGAATAATAAGAATAAGCAACAAGGAGCTCTGGGAACGAACCAACCAAGAACCTATCACCCAACAAATATGCAGGAGGAAGTGGAGATGGATTGGAGTGGGCATACACTGAGAAGGCCGACTGGGGACATCACGCGTCAGGCCAGTTGCTCGAGTGGAATCCCCATGGGAAGCGACGAGTTGGACGTCGGTGTCGAGGGTGACATGGATGAGGTCGTGCGAGGAGGAAATGAGTGGTTGTGGGCTGTCGTGGAGACAGGTTCAAAAGATTTCAGGGAAGAGAGTTCACTGGAGACGTGCTACTGAAGCTCTATGTTCCATTAGGAACCCAAGGGACTAATAATAATAATAATAATAATAATAATAATAATAATAATAACAATAACAATAATAATAATAATAATAATAATAATCGATATATGGTTATTTAGCAATAACAGCATTTATATTTTGGTTAATATCATTCAACCTTCGGGAATAAAGGTAGTACATCAAGGACCTATATTAATTCTTCCTAGTAGCAGTATTGTGGAAATACAATCTTACTTCAAAAGTATCAACAGAAAGTGCTGACACTGCGTGTTTCTTTGGACTGTTCCAGTGGTTCCCAACTCTCAGCAAGAAACGAATTCCCAGATGTAGACTACTTGACCATGGTCTATGAACTTTTTGATGTTTTAGTCTGAGGTAAACAGTTCTAGAGAGCAGGAAGAAATAACGAAAATCATCATTCAAGATAAGATAGATTGACTATAGATTATACTTCATCACGAACGCGTCTTTCTTAGTCAGTATTTAACTGGATGAGTGAGTGAGTGAGTGAGTGAGTGAGTGAGTGAGTGAGTGAGTGAGTGAGTGAGTGAGTGAGTGAGTGAGTGAATAAGCGGCGGTTACAGTGATGTGCGAGGTTAGTGAAGTGAGGGTTCAGAGGCCAGAGAATCTTCCGTATGTCGTATTTTTGTCATACCTATCTAATCAAACATTATCTGGGAGAAAGAAATTCATCAGATCCTCATACAACAGCAATGGAGTGAAGACAATGAGACCCTATCTCATCCACCTACGTGCAGTGAAATGCAGAAGCGTATCTGATATCCAGCTTACGAGTAACATTGTCCGTTTGTGAAAGGCATGGAGGCATGCACGTCGGCTTGAAGGTGTAAGCGTTAGTGTTGGTTTCCAGTTAACATATGACGGAATTGCAGGATGACAACACTGGGTGAGTTGATGCATGTGGTTGTTTTTGAGTCATAATGTTTATAACAGTGTTACAGTAAATCCACCAGAAGCAGGAAGTATGGACCAATGGATTTCGACACAGTTGTTTAGTGCTAATGTGCTGACAGCCGAACATGGGGACCCTGGGTTCGATTCCTGGCGGGGTCGTAGGTGTGGACTGCTGAGGAGTCCCATACTATGCTGAGGAAGCTGTTCAATGCTCCTAGGTTTCCAGTTCTTCTTCAACTGGTGTCAGGCCAGGATGAATACCAACCTGGAATCTGGTCTTTCCTTTTAGGACAGGTAGAAAAGCCTTTCGAGCATCTTGGTTCCTAATTTGTGAATCCGCTTTAATGTCAACTTTCTTACATGAAACATGAACACACCGGCTTGTTTTCGCAAATATTATAAAGTTTGAAA